TTCTATAAAATATTGCATAAAAATATTTTAAAATAGTTTTAAGAATATTTTAAAATAATTTAAAAATGTTTTGTGATAACATTTTTAGAATATTTTGAAAAACTTTTAAAAATATTTTTAAAAATCTTCTTTATCGCTTAGGTAATATTTTCTTAAATATTTGATACATATTTTTGAAATATTTAAATCTATATATTTAAAAATATTTCTGAAAATATTTTTTAACATGAAAAAGCGGACATGAAAACATTTTAAAATATTTTCAAAAATTATTTTATCTTTAAAAAATATTTTTAAAAGATTTAAAAAATTGTAGAAATATTTAAAAGATTTAAAAAATATTTTATGCTGTATGGGATTGAACTTGCAATCTTTTTTTTCGTCAAAGCTCGAGAAACTTTCTAATTTAATATCTCATTTATACATAATAAATTATACGTTTAAATTTGAATCGATGTAACACATAATTGATTAAGTTCCCGGCTATTAATTAAGCAAATTCTCATTCGCGAATATAAAGATCTCGCTGGCCAAAAGATTAATGCAATTGATCTTGGTTAAAATCGTGCAAATGATCGTAATTGACTCGCGTTAAATTAACGCCCAAGCGCGAACAATTATTACTAATGATTATCATTGCTCCGCGCGTTTATAATTGGATACGGATCGGACAATTTTATTACACGAGCGCGGATATAATTGCTGCATGATTTTTGTCGTTCGTAAAATTGTTTAATTTATTTATTAATTTTATTTTGCGATTCATTTATTTTCTTTTATTTTTCTAAAAATACAGGGAGGGTAAAATGTAGGTAAAAAGAGTGTTAACTGTCTGACCATGATGACGGTCATCTTACGGGTTTCTGTCCTCATTTATGTTAGCTTGACGGAATCCAAGTACCATAACCACTTGCTGTTTTGTATTCACTTGGCGATGAAAAACCACAGATGTTGCGGAATTCGTCTCGCGCGTCATGTTAATAATGACTTCGTGCTGGGTGCCTCGGATTAATCGTGACTTTCTTTAATCTACCACTGAAATAACCGAGATAGGGGATTCTAAATGCGTTCCGAATTATATGATTTAGTGTTATATCTTAAATAAATATTCCCCGCCAAGGAAAAGTTATTGCGTCGCATATTAAAGCGTCTTTCATCAGCACAAAATATTTCGAAAATCTTTTAAAAATTGTTTTTAAAAGATAAAATAATTCTCGAAAATATTTTTAAATATTTTATTATATTTTAATATTTTTAAAAATATTTTTAAAATCTTTTCTTAAAAATAAAATAATTCTCGAAAATATTTTTAAAATGTTTCCATGTCCGCTTTTTCATGTTTAAAAATATTTTCTGAAAATATTATGTATCAAATATTTAAGAAAATATTATCTGAGCGATAAAATAGAACATTTTAAAGGTTTTTAAAAATATTCTAAAAATGTTATATCAGAAAAACTTTTTAAATCATTTTAAAATATTCCTAAAACTATTTAAAAATGTTTTTATGCAATATTTTATAGAAATATTTAGATTATTTTTTAAAACATTCATAATATTTTGTACTGTATGGGCTCCGTATACGAAGTAGATATGTATATGTGAACATATAATTTTATCACAAACTAATTTACTCAAATTGATTTATATATTATTGCATTCTGCGATTAATGAGATTCGAATTTTTTTCTTACATTCTGAAATAGATATTTTTTAGAAATAAATTTATTATGATATATTTTTACGATATGTGATATCGTCTTCGTCAAACGATTAAGATTGATAGTTTTTAACTTATCGGCTTTTATGATTATTGATGCATCCTTTTTTGTCACCGAGATACTTCCGTTACAATGCTTTTTCTATATAGAAGCCTGATACAGCGACTTCGGACGATAAACAGACCGAATCATTGTAACAAAGCTTCTTTGTAATCTGCTCAAATTACTTGAAAACATTATTAACTGTAACTCTGTTTTGATACATAACATCAAAATCGTGAATAAAATTATAACTCCTAATCTAGAATTTTAATTTCACGGAGAATAATAACACTTTTTGATTTGAATAAAAAAAAGATCGAAATAAAAAAACAGTTATTTCAGAATTAATAATGATATGTAATCACATTTTAATGTAATGTTATAAAAATATCAACTACTAGGTTACTTTAATAAATAAGCCACTTTAATAAATAACCACTTTCTAATTTATAATTTACTTGAATTAATTTAATTCACGTGTTTTGATATTTTCTCTTTGCTCGTATATATATGTATGTCATTTCTATTAGCGCTAAATAAAGTCCAATCTATTTTATAAATGAATTTTATTTTAACTTAATTTAATTTTAATTAATATTATTAATATATAAAATATATATATATATAATATTTACATAATATATAAATTAATATTAATGTATAAATTAATGTAATAAAATTTTATAAAATGCTATTCAGATGTTAATTGAGTCCGAATTATACACTCGAATCGTTTGACAGAAAATTAGATTTATATTGAGGCTCTGATTAAAATCAATCGAATAAAATAAAGAATTATTATTATTATTATTATTATTATTCTAAAAATGCGATTTTGTTTTAAGATAAACGTTCGTGCTTAAACGTTCTGTTTTATGGCGCGTACCATCTTGCTACCTAGTCCTTCTTCTGCGCCGAATTATGCTTGTGACAGATCGATGTCAAATATAAGGGATATCGTACCCGATGGTACGACCTCATCCCCTTGACAAATCGAAATACTATCCTCGTGCCATCCCGCACTTTTACGAGGTTAATCGATGTTTGTTACGATGCTACAAATAAAATTGCGACACTTTGATCTTTTTCTTTGGCGATATTTTAATGTTTTTTTTTTGAGTTCTTCAAGACGATGCCTATTGCAAATATATCTGTCAAAGACACGAGAGAAATTTATTTTATTCCATCTTTTCAGTTTTGTTTTATCAATCAAATTATTAAATAATTTTTTTACAATTTTTAATCTTAAATATGTTATTTTCCTAAATCCAATCAATAAAGTTTAGATCAGAATTTACAATGATTATGTTGATGCTAAATAAATATTAATATTAATATTGAAGATATTATATAGTTTTATCAAACTTAAACTTGTATAATTTGTCTGCGATTCCAAAAAATGTGCAACATTCATAATATATTCAATAATTGTGAAGATGGAAGATTTTGATATGTTAGATATCTAACTGATTGTATAAGTACCGTAGACAATAGACACTTATCTATTGTCGATTGATATCGCCAAGACTGACACAAGGTAAATCCTGAGAATATTCGATGAATATCATAAAAGCGGCTATTGAATATATATTCTCCGAACATTAGACGCAAGTACAATAGTACGTACTAAGGCTATTTCTATGTCCCACTTTTCTGCTTCTCATACACACCGTGAATATCTTCTGGAATATATAATGTATATTTTTATGTCTTCGGTACTTTAGAATGTCTATAGTATATATCTTACATTGTAATATATAACGGATTCTAACGGAATGTAATATAACAGGTATGTTATACGCAACAAACATGTTATTAGTTGTAATTTCCCGCTCATAAATATAACATGTAATACACGAGAGAAAATAGGGGGCCTTTTGAGTTTAAATTAAAAGTTTCAATTGTACTCTCTCTCTCTCCCTCTTACAAAAGAAACTGTAGATTATTTTTCTATATAATTTTCCCCTCCATACATATGCACTTAACCCATCTTTAATGAGCTTTCAATTCCGTCTTGGAAGAAACTATTTGATATATCTTCGTGCAGCCACTTTTGCATCGCTTCAACGATCTCTTCATCCGCGAATGAAACTTTCACTTGGCAAAATCGAACAGACTCTTGACTCTGAATAGGCATATTTATAAGAATAATATGTTTAGATGCGCACATATCTCTTAAGAATCCCATACAAATCCTATATGAAATTAGACCCCGATAAAATCATTTGATTTTCTCATATATTGGTAGCTTATAATTTGCTGAGCAAAAGATATAATAGGATTAGTGCAAGATTTAAAAAATTCTATATAAAATTAGATCCCGGCAAAGTCAGCTGATTTTCTCATATATTGCAGCTTATAACCTGCTCAACAAAAAATGTAAAAGGCTCGGAGCTAAATAATGAACGGTTACTGACTTATAGCCAGTCGAACATGAAAAACTCGCGCTGCGAGTATTGTTTGACTGGCTGTAGGTCAGTAACTGTCCATTATTTAGCTTCGAGTCTGTTACATCTTTTGTTCAACAGATCATGTGAGAGTACCAAAACTGATTTCACCAGTCTCAATTTCATATAGGATTAGTGCGGGATTATTTTTAATCTCGATCTTCAATTCTTAATATTATATTCTCTTCGTCACTTTGATTTTATAGGGTGTTGAAGCCATCTGGCAATAATAGCAGCGATATTTAGCTTCGAGTCTATTACATCTTTTATTTAGCAGATCATGTGAGATTCCAAAACTAATATCACCAGTTCCAATTTCATATAGGATTAGCACGGGGATCCTAATCCAGATCTTGAATTCTTAATCTTATGTTCTATTTATCACTTTAATTGTATAATGTGTTGAAGCCTTCTGACGGTGATAGCAATGATATTTAGCTTCGAGCCAATTACATCTTTTGTTCAACAGATCATGTGAGAGTACCAAAACTGATTTCACCAGTCTCAATTTCATATAGAATTAGTGCGGGATTCCTTTTAATCTCGATCTTGAATTCTTAATATTATATTCTCTTCGTCACTTTGATTTTATAAGGTGTTGAAGCCATCTGGCAATGATAGCAGCGATATTTAGCTTCGAGCCTATTACATCTTTTATTTAGCAGATCATGTGAGAGTTCCAAAACTGATTTCACCAGTCCCAATTTCATATAGGATTAGCACGGGGTTGCTTTTAATCTCAATCTTGAATTCTTAATCTTATATTCTACTTATCACTTTGATTTTCTAGGGTATTGAAGCCACCTGGCGGTGGTAGCAGCGACATATTCGGCGCAGGCCCGGAGGAGATGACGAGTCCACGTCGTGTCAAGATCCACAATCAGTCCCAATTGGGCTCGGCCCTTTTCGGCAACGCCAACGGCACCGATAACCCGCATACTATCCTGTCGCCGCGGTCCAATAAACCCGGTAATGATTCATACAATCGTCTGTTCGGTCCTCCCGATGCCCCGCCCGTCAAAAGTCGAAATGCAAAAAAATATAAAGACACCAATACTCTCTTCAACGGTGAATCGTTGGCTTCGATGTCGTCATCGAGCTCCTCGATATCGCGCTCCAAGAGCACAATCAGCAACGGCAGTAGCTTACTGCCGAACATTGCTAACGGCTTCCCTAGCAACGGCAATAATTTGTCCAACGATATTACAGGTAAGGCCCATATAATAATCACGAACGGAGAAGTAGTCGCGAACTGTCCCGGGATGGGTACAAGTGATTCATTTATTAAATTGATGCAAGAGTGATTTTTATATTAAGTTGATGCAAAAGATATATCATATTTTTCAAAAATTATATCTAGAGCGTTTCTATGAGGAAAACGATAAATTTTAATAGTATCTTCTAGATGTTATATTTTTTAACAAAAAATCACATTCTATTGATCTAGTAGACTCTATTTTCCAATTAAGAGCAATGATCTAAATGTGTTCTGTCTCATTTTAGAGTGCTGAAAAATTAGACAATACCTGACTTCATCTGATTGTGGTAAAACTTTAAAAACGCAGTCAGCCTCAATGACCTTGACCTTGACATATGCTGCCAACGTCACTGTTCTGAATAGCCTTCAAAAGCTTCTATACATCGCTCGTTGTTTATTAAAAAGTTAATAACAAACAAATTTCCACGAATTATTTTATTTTCAGACATTATGTACGTTTTAAAATATAGAATAGATTCATTTATGTGCAATAAATTAATGTTTTTAATAAATAACAAGCAACATTTTTTGGAAGATGCTCATAACAATGACCTTGTGACTAATACATACGTTAAGGTCAAGGTCATTAAGAGTGGCAGTTTTTTTTTTTAATTTTATCAAACATTTTTTAATATGATCGAAATATATATAAATAAGTTTTAATCATTATTCACCATCGTCATCTTTGCTTATGAATTAAAAATCAATTCTTTTATTAGAATATTCTTCTCCCCTCCTCCTTCTTTCTCTTTTTCAACAGAAAAACAACAAATCTTTTGCATTAACTTAATATTTTTTAAGAAAATTATATTGCATTTAAATTAAGCAATTCGATAAAATTGCAAGTTAAATAATATATATAATGAGAAATTAATTATTACATGTAACATTTAAAAGAATGATAATTCGTGATACACGTTTATTTGTAGTTAATTTCTGTTAAATTTAATTTATATTTTGTATGAATTCGTCAGTTTAACGAATATATATATATATTAAAAAAAAAAAATATCCTTTTTTCTTAAAAATGTTGTATCAATACTGGATAAAAAAATAATGCATTATATCAATTAAGAATATTAAACCGTCCCGAGATTTTCTAAACTGTTCTCGCATTCGTGATCAAATGCTTTTTTTCTTATCAAACTTGCCAATAATTTCGATCTAAGTTAAAATGTGTGTCGGCTTTTAAAACTTATTTCTTGTGTCGAATATTACGCTTATCACGACGAAAAATGCCTTCTTCTGTTATAAGTAGAAACATTTAATCTCTGTAATAATTTATATTTACATTTCTTAAAATTATGTCCGCAAATTTTACATTCATTTTATTTAATAACGATTTTGCTACCTTTCGCAATTAATTTAATATAATAATAAATTTATGATTAATAATAATAATAAATTTTGATAATATATAGCGTGTTTCGCAAAATATTCTTTTATAAAATATGTATTTTACTATTACAACAAAATTTTTACATGAACTATATTGTACGGTCTTTATATTATTGTCTAGTCTAACCTTTTTTAATAATGTCGTTTTTCTCGAATAATTTTCAAGCAGCTATTAGGAGAAAGAAACGATTTCGTAAGTGTGTAACAAGACATCATTCAAATAGATGACACGCAACATTTTCATCACATTTCCTTCTTTGATCATTATTATTATTAGATGCGAAATTATTAGAAAGTAATTTCTCGTAAATTAATAGAAACTTTTCTCTCTCTTACATACACACACAAACATACCATCGAAAATTTCACGAAATTGTACTAAAATTATCATTATGATAAAGAAAATACTTGATTTTTGACACGATCATAATTTTTACAGATTTCATTATCAGACGAATTTTTCAACATATTATTATTATTATTATTATTATTATTATTATTATTCCAGAGCCTGCCACAAAAAAATAAAAAGACACATATTTTGAGTTAGACATTACTGCATATTATTTAGATTTTAAGTTTGTACCATACACACATCTTACAAATAATATTGTACATCCGCTTTGTGCATTTAATTATTAGTTATGTTACATTAATTATCCACTTACAATAATAAACTCATAGTAAACGACATTGATGCAATTATTATAGCATAATAAAAAGGAAAATATATATGTTTATGAGATAAAATATTATTTATTCTTCTGACGAGATATACGCGCACAATTTGTTTAATAGATGGATTTGGCAAATTATAAGGAGGCACACTGTGATTTATAAATTTGTTAGCGAATAAAAATTGTCAGAAGTATATGATTTTGCGAAGATGCACAGATATTTCAATGTCGTTTGCGAGATGTTATTCACGAACTTTTTGGCACCTCGTATCACATGCACCATCAAAATCGATAGCAATATATTTTTCTATAACAATAATATTCAGCTTATTTAACACAAACGCACGCATGATTAAAAGAGAGAAGTCTTTCTATAACAATGATAAAGTATTCAAAAAAGATCATTGATGACATGACATTATCGGCTGTAATAAAAATGTCATTTCGAGACATTTTTCTTCTATTTATTAAATCTGCATATAATATATGCAACTGTTTTTACAACACTATCGTTATTTTAATTTTCATACTCTTTTACCAATATAAATATTTATCCCTTCTTTGTTTATATAATACGAACGTTTTTACATTGCTTTTTTATATCGTACGAACGAATCTTGTGTGTTTGTATTACGAATTCAAGATATTAAAAATTATTTTGCTTTCATGTATGTATTATATGTACATACATATGAGACAAATAGATATTCAAATCATTAAATTATATAAAAATTTAATTTTAAATTACTCAAGAATTTAATTTTTAATTTAATAATGTGAGACTAAAAAGGCTTTGAGGAGCAAATTGCAATTAAATGCATATATTAACATTTGTAAATTTGTAATTTGTGAGATACTTAATACCAGTTTGAAATATAACTTTTATAACTTAGAACGAAAAATTATTTTATAATAAACAATATATGTAAAAAAATCATTAAAAAGTCGTGAGTCACAAAAAGATACAAATATCTTTTCAAAAGTAAAAACAATATTAAGTAAGTATAAAAAATTAGTAAAGTATAAAAAATTTATCAGTCAGAATATAAAATGTGTCTATAAAATTATTTGGTTGATGGACTGTTGATGGACATCTGAAACGATTCCTCATGACAAAGTCGAAATCTATCATCCACAAAGCCTTTTAGCCTCCATTCTACTTCATCTTCTTTATAGAGATAGCTACCCTTTCATACATCTTAAATGACAATAGAAGTTTAGTCGTATTATTTTAACATGTATATTTTAAAATGTATATTATTTTAAAGCCTTTCAATTTTTACCAATATATATATGTATATATTCTTTTTAATTTGAAAATTTATATTTTTAGTAGTTGCATTTCGAAGTTTTAGCATATTAAAATAAAATTATAAGTATATTAAAAATTAAAAACTAGCAACTTGAAAATAATTTAGATATCAAATAAAATTTAAGTTTAATTTTAAATTAAAAACTTAAATTTCAAAAATTTTAGAGTATAATAATGTGTTATAAATGATTAATTATTTATTTTTAATAAAACTTCCAAATATATGTATACGATTTTTGGAAAAATATAATTTAAAAAGACATTTTTAAAAATCTATCGAAAAGATTTTAAAATAACTTCTCTCTCTCTCTTGACTCTATTGCCATTTAAATTTAATTATCATCTATGAAAGGCATAAAGTAGCACAGTTGAAATTATTACATGTCTCAAAAATATAATACATTTACTTTAGCATTTTTCGCAAAAATCAGTTGGTCACAAATAAACTGTCATGATGACAAATTCTCAAATATATAAATACATTTTTAAATATCATTTTTCTGAAATAAAATTTTAAACAATTCACGAAAAATGTGTTCCTAACGTAGAACCACTATGATACATTTATGCAGAATTTGAATAAATGTAATATCTCTGCGATTCGTCCGTACGAATTGCGGCGTATTAACACAAGTTGGTTGGGTTACGATTATGGATTCGCGATGGTGCATGGGGTGAAATGGGTCCGGCTCTCTCTCGCTCGTCACTTTGTACGCACGCACGGGTGGCGAAATGAAAATGGCTGTTGACATGGGGTTTTGGGTTTCGCTCTGCACCACGTCGTCGCATCCCCTGTAGGAGGATTGCCGACGCGCAACCCGGTCACCGGAGACGGAATTGAGGTGACGCCTGCAAGATGCAACCCACGAAAGTGCAGAGGTAATGTTCACCAATTATTCCAATAGTCTGTCAAACGATTCTTAGAAAGTTATACCCTTTCTTCGATCCTTTTTCGACAAAAACAACGCAAAAATTATTATATATTGTATATATATATATATATATATATATATATACACGCAAAAATACACAGACTGTAACGTTAATAATAACGGTTTGATTTTATTTACAAATATACATATATGTATATATTTATTTAATTTGAAAATTCATCATTTTTCAAGTATTTGCATTTCAAAGTTTTAGGATATTAAAATAAAATTATAAATATTATAAAAATTAAAAGTCAGCAATTTAGAAAACAATTTAGACACTAAAAATGTAAGTTTAATTTTAAATTAAAAATTTTTAATTTTAGAGAATAATAATATGTTATAAATTAATTATTAATTTTTAATATCTAATAAAACTTTCAAATATATATGTATACAATTTTGACGTCAATTTGCTATACATATGTACACATGTACATGCATATAGTACGTGTATGTGTGTGTGTATTTTATTATTACATTAACATTATAAGTATAGTCTGTGCATTTTTACAAATTATAATAATGCAGAAACTTTTTCTTTTCAAAAACAGTTTGGAATCGATATACATATCGATTTCTAATGAACTAAAAGAAAATGAGAAAGAAAATTGTTTAAAAACATCTAATCGACTCTAAGAAAAAATATATACATAATATACATATATATATATATACATCAATACATATATAATATCAAAAATACATATATACATGCATACATATATACACATATGTATGTATGTATGTATTTTTCTCGGAATAGATTGGATTTCTTAAAACAATTTTTTTTTTGTCAACTTTAGTTTGTCATTTATACAATAAATATTAATACAAGTTGATAAAAAAATGTCACGAAAGAAATTCGCGCTTTCTAAATGTTATAACTATAAAAGCAGAGGTTATTCGTAATTAATTTTTGTAACGATAAATACATGCTTGTGTTTATAAGTATATAAAATGCTAGATATAAAGCCAGAACATATGTTACGAAAGTTTGAAGAAAATTGAAGGTGGAAAATTGCATCAGGCTTTTTCTTGTGCGATTAAGTCTTCTATTATTTTTAAAGCGCGAGTATAACGTTCTTCAAAATAATCGGCAAATTTATACTGGTTATGTTGTTCATTGACTTTTGTATAATGTTCCATTTCTCGCATAGCTTCAATTTCAAAGCTTCAGGAAGGCTTCAGAAAGACATAATAAACTAGTATTCTCATAAATCTGTGAAACTTGAGTTTCTCTACTAAGCGAGGCATTAATTTTATTGGCTAATTGATTTAATTCAATTTCTATCGCTATGAGACACGTTATAGGGAATGACTTTGACTCTAATTTAGGGAGAATTGAAGCAACCTGGTAGTTCCAAATCAATCTTTTCCTTATGCTAGATGTTAATTGGTCCATATATATACACAAGTCTGCAGAATATGGTATTTTGGATGGTGTATAAGTACATACCAAGGATATGCTTGGAAAGGAATATAGTACCTGACCCCAGGTAATCGCAAAATGCTTAATTTTATGTATCGCGTTATCGCGCACAAGATCATATTTGACTTCCATCATAGCAAATAATTCTTGCATTCCTGGCATAGCCAAATATTCCTGTTCTAAACAACTCAAATAACATATAACGATGACATCGTCTTCGATAGCCATAGCATCAGTAAACGTATACACATCCGTTTTCGTATAATTTATACTATTTATCTTGTAGTTATAATGGAGCTTTCTTAAATTAAAACGAGGCGTTTCACGTGCACTTATTAAAAACGCGATAACTTGTCTTGGACTACAGTTCACTCCGGGAAGAATCACGTTAGTCGGGGGAAATTGATCCAAAAATTCGAACTCGTCAATAGATAATCCCGATTTCTCCCGATCTGTTAACATGTCTATCAATGGCACTAACATACCATTCTCATCGTCGATTGTCATTTCGGTTTGTGCCTTGATTGAGTCTGCCAGTGTAACCTATTACGAATTTTGAATTTTCCTCATTTTAAATGTCTTAATGAATATCGACTGAATGCATGCATAACTTAGCTCTTTTAAAATCGGTAATAAGAGCACTATCTCATATACATACTTGATCATCATTATCCTCGACTGCCATTTCGAAATGTTCCATATTGATTGAGTCTGCCGGTGTAACCTATTACGAATTTTGAATTTTCCTCATTTTAAATGTCTTAATGAATATTGACTAAATGCATGCATAATTTAGTTCCTTTGAAATATATATAAAAAATTTAGCTCTTTTAAAGTATATATAATATATACATGAGTTTAAAAAAATTATTGACACAATCTACTGCATAATAATATTATACGTGTGATCATTTTGTTCACTTGCGATTTTGAAAAGCTATAATAGAATAATACGCGCGAGAACGATATATATTTTTAAAATAGATTTAATTAGGTATTTTTTCGAAATATGTAAGACATGCGTTTCAAGAAATCGATAATAAGAGCACTATTTCATATACCTACTTGATTATTCTCGTCGATTTCGATTTCGGCGACTCCGATTTCGATTTGTTCCATGTTGTTCGAATCTATACGCATGAGAACGGTATATATTTTTAAAATAGATTTAATTATTTTTTTTCGAAATATATAAGACATACGTTTCAAAAAAATCGATAATAAGAGCACTATCTCTCATACATACTTGATACAATTGTTTCGCAGAAATTGAAAAAGTTTCTCTGATTCCTGAAAGTGTGTGAGCTTCTTTGCGAGGCACAACTTCTTCTAACATTAACAGTTAAAAATGTATACCAGATAATAAAAAGTTGAGAAGAAGTAAAGAAACCAAGAAACAAGGTTAAACAATATAAACGTAGGTCTATAAACACAACTATAAAATTGTAAATAAATGTACATTTATACATGTAATATACACATTATACATATAATATATAATATACACAATACAATTTTACACATAATTTGTATAAATTTTGCAATTATTATAATTTATAAGAAGCATTAATAAAAATTATAAATATATATATATAATTTTACACATAAAATTTTTCAATTAATATTTATAAGCATATAAATGAAAAATAAATAATTGATTCTCAGCTTTTTTAATCTGTTTATTAATATATATTTCAAGTGTCTTACATATATCGAAAAATTTATTTAAGAATTATAAGTTTTAAATTTTATTCTAAAAATAAGTAAATTTAAATAAACTGTTAAATAAAGTATAAGTTATGCATGATTTTTATTTCTAGAGGTTTAAAATTTAAATATCTCAATGTTCGTATTTATTTCAAGTAACCTTATTAAAAATACTTTTTTAATAAAATAGTTTTTCAAAAGTGTATATTTAATTAGAAGAAAGAAAATTAATTGGCTGTGAAAGTTTTATTTTGAATGAAACGCGGATTCATTAATTGAATACTTCCGCTAATAAATTCGTGCTAATTGTAAGTGTAAGAGTTTAAATGCCTCGTTATTTTGTAGCACATGCAATATATGAATTTCATTAAATAATGTAATTATAAAAATAATAGTTTTCTGCGAGCGTTCAAAAGGTTGCAAAAATTTTCGCTATTATTTCAAAGACCAAAATCCACAAAATAATTAATACCTTTAATAAATATCACCATCGTTTAACCTTTACATATGAGAGATTTTTTGAATACAACGATCTCTCGGTCAAATGGAAAGCTTGTAACAAATTGGTACAGGAAGAACACGTGTTCGAACAGATATATGAATTTCTTTTCCAATCACCCTTTTAAATATAAAATAAACACAATTTTTAATCTTGTAGATCACGCGATTCTCTTATCTAATGACCAGTTTCACGACGAGAATATTAATATCGTGAAACAGATTTTATTTAATAACTGCTTTCCTAAACATGTAATGATCGTTGGGTTGATAAAAGGATTAATTTTTTAAAACACAGAAACACGAATGAATCGAGTAATGAGCGAAATATTGTTAATAAATCTCCTTTCATTTCACTACCTTATGTTAATAGCTTAGGCGATATCGATCGAATTTTTAAAAATATCGGATTTAATGTTGTTCATAATATTCCTAAAAAAACGAATCATTTAATTACACTCGGCAAGGATAGACTGCCTTTTTTTTTTTTTTTTTTTTTACGCAGTGGGAAGGATAGACTGCCTACAGATAAAAAGACTGAAGTGGTTTACGAAATTAATTGTAATGATTGCAACGCGTCATACATCGGACAAACAAAGAGACATCTGTGTACACGTGTAAAGGAACATTTCAGCAACATCAAAATGCATTCGAGTAATTTATCAGTTATCAGCAAACATAAAATTAAATTCGATTACGATTTTGACTGGACTTCGCCTGTTGACGTAAGAAAAAGAGAAATCGCTGAAATGTTTTTATTAAGAAAAATAATAACGCTATTAACTTACAAAAAGATACCGACAATTGAAGTAATATCTACGTCATTTAGTCTCTCATAACTCGTCTAAGAGTCTTGACGTGTTGTCAAACCGACACTATATTCGTTCTTGACATCTTAAAATATATAATTTTATTTTTATTTTCACAAGTATGTTTCGCTTCTTTTTATTATTTTGTAATATTGTTAAGTAAAGTAATTTTTTTATTGTATTAATCTCTGTACTGTATTTTTTCTCTATGTATATCTAGATCACTTGATAAGGACTCAAAGAAGGATCGAAACGTTGTGATTTAATAAATAATATTTGCCAGTACGGTCGAGAGAAGAGTTTTACTTTTTTAAATTCTGTCTGGCGATTCTCAAATATCTACGTTTTTTTTTTTAATTTTTAAAATGTATTATTTGAAAATTTAATTAACAAATTAACACTTTAATCAGCGGGTTTCTGTCAAAAATATGAATAAAGTATTAATTTGCTAATTAAATTTTAAAATAATATGTAAAAAATATTAAAATATATAATAAGTTGTAAATATTATGTTATAATACCTTATCCGCGAATAATATTTTTTGACAGAAATCAGCTGATAACTGTCAAAAATATTAATCGAATTTAAGGTATTATAACATATATTATTTAAAAATATTATTTTATAATTTCTATAACATATTATTATTTTAAAATTTAATTAGCAAATTAATAACGCTTTAATCAGCGGATTTTTGTCAAAAAATATTAATAAAGCGTTAATTTAATAATTAAATTTTAAAATAATACGACAAAAATTAAAATAGTAATATGTTGTAAATAATATGTTATAATATTTTATCCTCTCGATTAATATTTTTGACAGAAGTCAGCTGATAACTGTCAAAATTATTAATCAAGTTTAAAGCGTTATAATATCATTATAAAATAGTAATATGTCATAAATAATATTATAATATCTTATCCTCTCGATAAATATTTTCTGACAGAAGTCAGCTGATAACTGTCAAAATTATTAATCAAGTTTAAAGCGTTATAATATCATTATAAAATAGCAATATGTCATAAATAATATTATAATATCTTATCCTCTCGATAAATATTTTCTGACAGAAATCAGCTGATAACTGTCAAAAATATTAATTAAATTTGTATTATAACATATAATTTAAAACATATTAAAAAAAGCGAAAATTGCTCTACACATGAAGAGTGGTTACATTCTTTAGATTTTATTTTTGGGCAGCAATTGAAAAATTTCTAAAATTCCTCATTATATATTTATCCTCCTTCCTCTTTCTCTCCCTCCTACACATGTGTGTAAAGTTTAATAAAAAAAATCAGAATTTTCGATTTTGCACGAGATTGTCTAGTAAAGCGAAAACCTTTTTGCAGATGGCAATCCGGTAACCGGAGCCGGATACGCGTCTGAAATGCAGAAAAACGGAAAGCCGGCCGTGCAGAACGGAATCGCTAGCTCGAATTCCAGCAGTAGCGGCGAAAAGTCGAATGGCACATCGTCGCCGGGGACAGCAAAACTGCGCACCCGCATACCACCTGGTGGCTACTCATCCGGACTCTGGTAAAGGGTGGAAGCGAGAGAGGAGGGGGAGGGGGAACGAAAATCATTACATCAATCACAGTCGCCTTATTTCCTCTTTCTCCGGCAGATATTCCGATTAATTCTTTCAGCCCCCCTCCCGTGTTACACTCTTATTAAAGCCTACTCTATCTCTTAAGAGGATGCTGACTCTGTATGTTTTATCGACAAATATTATTTTCATTTAACACTCTTTATTGGCTATACAGAATAAAAATCTTTTAGTAGAATTAAAGTATTTATAATAACAAATATGTATATAAAAATACCAAGAATATTAAATAATTACAGTTTTCTCATCGGTTAAGTTAGATTATTATTTGTAAATTTAATTAGCGAATTAACGCTATTAATATTTTTGTCAGAAATCAGCTGAATCGGGCGTTATTAACTTGTTAATTAAATTTTAAAATAATATGTCATAGAAATTAAAATAATATTTTTAAATAATATGTTATAATATCTTAAATTCGATTCATATTTTTGACACTTATCAGCTGATTTCTGTCAAAAATATTATTCGCGAATAAGATGTTATAACATAATATTTAGAACTTACTATATTTTAATATTTTTAAATTTAATTAACAAATTAATGCTTTATTAATATTTTTGCCCTAATACAAAAGACCGATAAGAAAACCGTAATTATTTAGCTTTCGTGTTTTTTATATACCTATAGAGTAGCCCAGATTTATTATTATGAATACTTTAACTCTAGTAAAGGATTTTTCATTCCGTATAGCCAATAAATAATTAAATAAAAATAAAATTTATCGAGATAAGACAACGACACAGTTAACATATCTTCTTAAGATCTTCGAATTGTTGTCCATGTAAAGCGCTCCGAAATAGAAGTCTATTTATATATACTATGTATACCTATTTAATACGGTGATGAATATTCTACTTTTGATGATTTTTAGAAGAATCCAAAAGGGAGAACAGAGGTGTGAGATAAATAGTGGATTTTTATAGTAGAGTAATGTCATACTTTGCTTTGTATCGAAGAAATACTATTGTATTAATGTATAGAGAGGACAAGAATGACATTTATAGGCCTTTTGATCTTTAGATAATCATTTTATAATTAATTCAGACGTAAATTGCATGATGAAAATGTCACCATGTCACTCCAGTTTTCAAACGAAGATACGTCAATAACATTTGCAGTTAGGATGAAAATATAATAACAATAATAATAATAAAATCATTTATCCTCTTAATATTTGCAACAGAGAAACGAGCAAAATCACATTATTTTAACAACGCAAATTAATCGATTTATGATCAAATTAAATTTATCCATTATCTTTCATATCGGTTTCTTAAGATCCTAAATTTTAATGTGACAATTAATGATAATTTTTGACTATTAAAATGGAATCTTTCATCACAAATGTCGAAATCATGTCTAAAACCATTCATCACATTTCATTTTTTTTTTTTTAAGAAAATTAAATTTTAATCATGTAACGCGCGTAAATTCAATTTTAAAAGATTTTAATGATGAAATATCAAACTGGTAATTAATGGTAATTTTTGGAATATTTAAATGAAATTTTTACACAATTTTTTGCGCGCAAATGAATAACAACGATAAAATTACATCTAAATCCATTCATCAGATCGGTTTCTTAAGCTCTTACAACTTTTATTCTTATAATTTCGTGCAAATTCTATTTTTTAAAGGATTTCAATTATTAAATAATTGATAATTGTGAAATAAATATCGAAGTGGCAATTAATAGTAATTTTTGGGTGTATTTAAGTGGAATTTTTACAATTTTTATGAACGAACAAATGAATAACATGTTGTGAAGAAGATATAAGCGTAAGAACGAACCGGTCCTGGGTTTCTCTCGAGCGTGAATTACCGGTCCTTCAATTAACAACTCCAGTTTTATGTAACTGTATATATATATAGAGGGGTAGTTAAAGCAATCATTGCGCGTAAAGTATATTCTTTCATGGCTGAAATGCTGCGTGTCGGTCGATGAACGATATTCGCGAGTTGTAAATTCACTTTGTTAGGAAGTGCAATTTCCTCATTAAAAGGCTTACATATAATGAGTCATAAATAAATGAGGAGGAATGAATTATAAAAGAGGTGGAAATAAATGCATTCTTATTTTTAAATTAAAGCACGAAGCAAGAAAATATGGCGCGAATTATTTCAAGTGCTTGTTGTTGCGAGGCATTTTTAATTTGTATTCCAAAATATTACTAAAATTACTAGTCGACCTTTTATTAAGAGCTTTTAATTACTCATTTCTGTATTGAAAATTATAATAAAATTTGAATATTAGCAGTAATACTCTACAATATTATAATATTTATAATAATATTGAATATATAATATTTTGTATTAATTTTTGTTTCAAATAAATATTCCAATATATTTTTCACTCATTTTGTTTCACAGTTTTCTTATCGGTCTTTTGTATTAGGTCAAAAATATTAATAAAACATTAATTTGCTAATTAAATTTTAAAATAATAATATGTTAAAAATATTAAATATAGTAAGTTGTAAATATTATGTTATAACACCTTATTCGCGCGAATAATATTTTTGACAGAAATCAGCTGATAACTGTCAAAAATATGAATCGAAAATAATGATTTGTTTTTAATTCAAAATCTCTTTTAGCGTATTGAGAATTAATATTGCTTCAATTTTGCTCGTTTCAAATGTTGCATATCGCATCTCAATCATATAAAATCATTTAATTTTAGAGAATCACGTATATATATATCTAATGTACGAGAATTCGCTTTCTCGATGAAAGACAATGATATATTCACATATACATATATACAGATCAGTACCAAAATCGTAGAATTAGTATCACGATTATCGCAATATAATGCGACATATTGATTAGAAGTGTGAGGAAAAAATCATTATTACCATTCAAAATCTTGCCAAATATCGAGAAAAGATATATTGGAAACGTATCAAAATACATAAATAATTAGCAAGACAATTAACATTTTAAATGGGGTATCACATTAATTAGTGATACTGTGTTACGAGAAAAAAATAGATTCTATAAATAATGTCGCAGAAATCAATTGTAAAAGCGATAGCGTTTAATGAGAGATAAAATTATAGGAATTGTGGAAACTTCTCAGAGTTATACATTAGAAATAGGCATATGTTATTTCCAAAAATAAAAGTATACTATGTATAACCCATTAAATAAATCAAGTGCTTTTTTAATCTCCGTATCTCTTCTTAATCAACTATTTGATATAAAAAAAAATCGCAGTCAAGAAATTCATTTGTCAACTAATTTTTCTCCTCGTGAATTATCCCCCTGACAATGGAAAATATATATAATATCGATGCTATTTAATGATATAAACTTAACTTTATATCTGTATCACGCAAGATCAGAAACTTCTCAAGAATCAAAAACGAAATACCGCATAATTCATAGACTTTATAGAGACGAAACTTTGTTTCTCACTCTTATATACAATTTATTTTATATAGAGTATAGAGTATATTTTCGTCATCGCTTCGCTTCTATTTTTCTATATAGTGGGTGTAGTAGATGAATTATTGTATGTATTTATTTTACAGTAAATAAAACCGTGCACGTGTATCGGTTTTTTTTCTATGCAAATTTTTACGCAGTGGTTTGATATAAGTAAAATTAAATTATAACACACACACAATATATATAATATATATACAATATATATATCTGTCACAAAAATAGCCTTTTTGTACTCTAACAATAATTAATAAAATTTGTGAGCAAATTTTTTTACTTTTCTTTGTTTCTCCCTAGAGCAAATACAAGTTTAAAATAAATATACTCATTGTTAGTGATTTTGTCATACTAGAATTAATATGCGCAAATTGATTTTGCAATATGCACTTTTTATTGTTAATTATATTTTTATTATTAAAGTACGTACTCAAAAATATATAATGATATAATAACGATATATATAAACATATAATAACATAATAATAAAATTATTTATATGAAAAATATTACATATAAATATAAAAAACCATTATTAACACAAGCCTTAAATAAGCATTAAATATGAATGACAACAATATGAATGAATATATTATTATACAAAAAATTAGAATAAATTTGATATATTAAAAAAATAAATATTGTTATTAATTTATAAAATTTTTTTATAGTACATAATTACAAAACACAATTATTAATTGTTGGTGTATTCTTTATAAAAAATTAATTAATTTTTAAATTTAATTTCTTCTATAATTATTATATATAAATTGTCTATTTTTAATTAAAATATTCATTCCAATTAATTGTTATTCATTCATTTTGAGGTAACGGATGGTAACTACAATCTACAGCCTACAATCTACAGCCTACGATCTACATCTCTACAATGAAATACATATATGAAATCGTTACCTCCTAATAAAATAATTGTTTATCACTCACCAATCGATGTGCAAACAGCAGGAGTTGAAGCTACGTTGATCTGTAACATAAAAATAAGTATATAAATTATAACAACACTTTAAATAATTAATGTCTTTAAAAATTAATATTTTACACAATAAATTTTATATTTGACGCGTACAATAATCAGTGGATATATAGCTAAATAATTTTATAAATTTTGTAAAGATTATTTTTAATATAAATTTTATAATATTTATACAAAATATTTCTCTCTTATTTTTTCATTTAAATCGTTCAAATGTATAAATAAAATTAATAAAATTTTTTACTTTTCTCCCTAGAGCAAATGCAAGTTTAAAATAAATACTCATTGTTAGTGATTTTGTCATTCTAGAATTGATATGCGCAAATTGATTTTGCAATATGCCCCTTTTATTGTTAATTATATTTTATTATTAAAGTACGTACGTTTTATTATTATAAAAAAGAATAATATAAAATAACAAATCAAATATTATATATGTATAGATATAATAATATTATAATATAATATAATTATAATTATAAATATTATTGTATAAGTATTATATAAACATTATACACACAAATATAAATAATAAATTATATAAATAATTTATATAAAAAAATAATTAATAATAAATAATTAAATTTATATCAATAATACTCACCACAGCGTTGATCAGCCGGCGCCTGATGCCTCCTAGGCCTGTTCCTCCTCTCAAGTCAGGTTGATCAGGATTGTCCGATATGTGTCAAAGTCTTATTTAAACGCGCGACACTGGACGACACTCCCGCACTTGAACGCGCAATACTTTATAACTTTGCCCGAATTACACTTTTAGGCGCCACTCGATTGTGTCCTATTATTAAATATCGTCTCATTTTATGGCGATGTCAAGCATACCATAAATGTGCTTCATTCGTAATTACCGCCATTTCTTAATAATTAATTAATATTATTCTATAATGTCTATAATATATCCCCTCTTTAATGAAAATTATTAAATATTTATGAATTAATATATTGTATGAAAAACTTTTGTACGTTCTTTATTACGTTTTTATTATTATAAAAAGAATAATATAAAATAACATATAATTTGTACTAAAAATTTCAAAATTATTATCGTAAATTTTTCTGCAAATTGTATATCATCATTTATATATTACTTTTTCTTTAATATTATTTTATTATTTAATAAAAATAAAATAAAAGATAGAATAAAAAATAAAATTCGCAAAATATTTGATAGAACGCATATTATTTTTAAAAATTTGTTTTAACTAAAATCAAATTATCAATCAATATGAATGGATTATAAAATATATAAAAAAATAATAAAAATTAATATCTGTAAATTATAATACTAAATATAATTATAATTATTTAATCATTTATAATGTATAAAAAGCACATTAGAATACAATTATAATTGTTGATGTTCTTTTAAAATAAATTAAGTTAAATATACAATGTATTATAAAATCTTCTCCTTTTCTTAAATTATAATATATTTATAATCTTTAATATATATATATATATATATATATATTTCTAATTTTTATAATCCATTTATTTTAAGGTAACGGAACTATTTACGATCTACAGTCTACACAGCCTACAATTTACATCTACGCATCTCTACATAATTTAATCTCTACAAAACCGTTACCTTTTGTAATAAATAATAGTTTTTCACTCACTGGCCGATGTGCAAAGAACAGAGTTGACTGTATTCACACTACGTTGATCTGTAATATAAATAATATTCAAATTATAGCAATGCTAAAAATGATTAATATTTTAGAAAATGATTATTGTATGTATTGAATTTTATATTTGATGCGTACAATAATAAACAGAATATATATAATTGAATAATTTTATAAAATTTTATATAATAATAATTGAATTAATAAATCAAATAATAAATATTTACCCTATATAGTTGCTCCACTGATGCCCGATGTCTTTCCCAGACCTCCTCCTCCTCTCAGATTGTCATTTATGTTGATCTGTAACATACAAGTAAAATGGAAATTGTAATAAAATAATTAATATTTTAGAAAATTATTACTGTACGCATTGGATTTTTACTTTCCACGCATATAATATCAAGCAGAAATTAAATAATATTATAAATTTGATTTAATTTATAAATAATTTTTATTTAATTTGCAATTATTAAATTTTTATTTTATTTATAATTATTTTATATTTAATTTATAATAATTTATAAGTTTTTATTTTATTTTATAAATTTTTATTTATATAGTAATTGAACTAATAGGTCAATAACAAATACTCACTCCATAGTGTCTGCAGACTCTCCTAGATTTTCTCCTTCTCTCAGATTGTCATAAGATCGTCAGTTACATATTGATCTGTAATATATATAAATAAAATTCAAATTATAGCAGCATACAGAATAAAATTATATTTTATAAAAACTCATTATTGTATACATTGAATTTCATTTTCCACAATAATAAATAGAAATACATACCATATAATTAAATAATTAATTTTTATTTAATTAATAATTAATAAATTACTAATTGTAAGCCAATAATAAACACTCACCTTATTGATTATTCCGCCGATATACCTATCAGATATCTACTCCTCTATTCAAATTGTTAAAATGCTCAATTATACGCAGATCTGTAATAAATAAAATTCAAATTATAACAGTCTAAAATAATTAATATTTTAGAAAATTATTACTGTATGCACAAGATTTTATTTTTTATACGTACAATAATAAACAGAGAAATATAATTAATTTTATAAATAAATTTTTATTATTCATTACTAATCAATTTTAATTTATTATAATAACTTAACAAATATAAATAACCAATAAATACTAACCTATAGAGAGAATTATTGTTCCACCGACACCTAATGTGCTTTCTTCTCTCTTACTTCACCACTGTCGCTCCTTCGTGATACTCACTATACAGAAAACAATTAATTACAAGCACACACTCGTATAAAACCAGATAATTACTTATCGTACTCGAATGCAATTAATGAGCGCGCGACGTTTCCGACTTTTATGGCGGGAAAATAAGGCGGGAGAAGCGCGCGAGGCTCGATATTCACGACCGCGATATCTCGATATCTCGACATCTCGAAGTCTCGAAGGACTAACTTCGCACAGGTACAAATAGCGAAGGTTAAATGAACAATGGAAAATGATCAAAATATCATTTATTTATCAAATTAAATGCGATAAGTCAACAACTTATTTACATTGATACAATGCGATATACGTGTATTAACCACGATCTTGTATACAAGACCGTAGTATTAACCTACTATCACGAATAAAGCGAGCGAAATACATATTTACTTCGAATTAATTTGTCATTTCAATAATACACTTACGAGTTGCTAAATAAAAATAGAAAGTAAATAATGCGCGAAATGATGCTCACTAATCGCTCAAAAAATACTTCTCGCAATCTCGCGGCTCGAAAAATGTGTCGCTGCCTACCTGTTTGAGAGTCGCCGGCCGAATGACGAAACAACAATTTGTGATGTAAATAATGTCGCGCGTCGTCGAACGCCGAGTTTACACTTATTGTTAGCAATCTAAAATTATTAAAATACGACTCCAATTATGCTTTACTCACCAATTAAATGCATCGCGATGCAGCATCCGTCTGTCCCACGTTGGCGATGTTCGCGCTACAGATTCCGGTATACAGATACAATGACGACATCAGCGCCACGCTGATTATGCCGGGAAAATAAAGCGCGCGAAGTTTAAGTTAATTACGGCAGCACGCAGTAAAATAATTAAATTAATATTATTATATATTAACAAAATATTACCATTTTAATTTTTGACATATTAATTAACAAATTACCGTTTTATTAATATTAATAAATTAAAGCTTTATTAATATTTTTTAACAAAACATAGCTGTCTTATAAAATTAAAATTAAAAATAATCAATTAAATTGATTGATAATTATTTTTAAAAATTAGCTGATTAAATATGCATTAATTTGCTAATTAAATTTTAAAATGTTTTAAATATTATATTATAATACTTTAAACTTGTTTAATAATTGACAATTATCAGTTGATTTCTGTAAAAAAATATTAACAAAGCATTACTTTGCTAATTAAATTTTTTTTTAATTTGTTTAAAAAATTCTATTAATATTTTTGACAAAAATCAACTGATTAAAACGTTTACTGATTAAATTTATAATATATAATACTTATTATATATATAATTTTTTAATTTGGAAATAATTTCAGAAAACTTAAAAATTTAATAAATCTAGTTGCAAAAAAATATTCTTTCAACATAATCATGATTATATTATTCATTTTATAGGATTTTTATTAGAATTTATTATTATAATTATATAATTAAATGATTATATCAATATTTATTCATAATACAGTGCAATAATTTATTCGACACAGAGAGCAGCAAGGCAATTTCTTACTTGAACACCAGTAGCTTTGCAAATGGAAATAAACATGTGTTTGTCATTAGTTTCTTGTTCTATCTTACTGGCTATCTCATGCCCTTTCTTTGTAATAACAGACGGTACACCTGCCAATCGAGCGGCATTGAATCCATAAGATTTTGGGCAAGCTCCTTCACTAAGCTTGTATAAAAACGTCACTGTCTCTTCTGATACGTTTTCTTCTTCTCCTGTTTCAACCATGCATGCCTGAAAAAATTAAAATTTATAAAAAAACATTTTATAAAACACTTTTTAAAAATACATTAAGATTAATAAGTATATGTAATAAAAAATAACAGCATACATAAATAAATATATATTTTTTACAATACACAAATATATATTTTGAATAAAAGATTTATATCGTTAGAAATATAAGAGATTCTCACCATATGAGCTAACGTGACCTCTTTATTGGTTTTGTAATCCTCGACCAAAGAATGATAATGAGTGGAAAATAATGTGCGACACTTTAACTTTGTTAATGCGTCGACAACTGCAGCTGCTATTGCTGTACCGTCATAGGTTGACGTGCCACGTCCTAAAATAATAAATTTTTTATCAATTTAAAGAATATTTTCTATTAATTTCGAATATTCGAGGAATAAATCTGGTTGGAGGAAGTAATTCTTACCCAACTCGTCGAGGAGAACCAACGAATAAGACGTAGCGTGTTGCAACATCGTAGCAGTTTCGTTCAGTTCTACCAAGAATGTGCTCTGACCAGTCAAAATATCATCGTTGGCACCCAAACGTGTGAAAATACGATCCACCAATGTTATGCAACACAAACTGGCTGGAACGTAGCTGCCCTATTTATGCAAAAAATTAAATTTACAATTTATACATATTTATAACTTATTTATTCTCATAAAACTTACTATCTGCGCCATGATGGTGATCAAGCCCACTTGACGCATGAGAGTTGACTTGCCTCCCATGTTTGGTCCTGTCAAGATCATAAAGGAGGCAGCATCATCAGTAGCTATTAGAGTATCATTGGGAATAAAGTTATCGGATGCAATACAAGGATGTTTTCCATCTCTTATCTTGATGAAGATCTATAAGAATTACGTTCAAAAATAATTTATATAAAATATTATATATTATTATTATTATAAATTTAATTAGCAAATTAACGCTTTAATCAGTTGATTTTTGTCGAAAATTTTAATAGAATTTTTTAAACATATTATGTTTATTTAATTAGCAAAGTAATGCTTTATTCATATTTTTGGCAGAAATTAGCTGATAATTGTCAAATATTAAACGAGTTTAATATTTAAAGTATTATAATATAATATTTAAAACATTTTAAAATTAGCAATATTTAATCAGCTAATTTGTCAAAAAATATTAATAAAGCTTTAATTTATTAATATTAATAAAACGTTATTTGCTGGTTAAATTTTATGTCATATTTTCTCGACAAATAAAGAACATTAATAATATTATATATGAAGGTAATATAAAGATATTAAGGCTCGCCTTTCTAATATCATAACATGGTCAATCAGAGAGCCACAGGAGCCTTAATATAAATAATATTAATATCTAATGATATCCTTACTTCACCATCTAATCCGTCATGAATTTCTGGTATACACATATCATCATTTCGAGCGTATTCCGCGAGAGAGATAAGTACATCCATAATGGCCACTTTGTAATGGCTTTATGCCATGTATCATATTTTTCGCTGAACTTCGCGAATATTCTCCTGTTAAGATCCTTCAGCACTTTATCTCGGTGCTCTTCTGTATTTATCTGTCTTGCTAAAAGCTCCTGCAATGATCAAAATTAGCTTTACACAATGTTAAAAATATTTTATCATGAAAAAAAGCAAGTCCTTTTTTTAATTACAAGTATAAATTACTATCATTATTATTACCTTTGCCTCAGTAGTATAATAACGTTTGAAACCTTTTCTTTGTGACTGCAGTTCATAGCCGGGACCAACTTTCTTAACTTGTGAATCAGGAACCTCGATTTGATAACGTTTCTTATCTGACCCGTAAAATGTTATTTTGACATCAAAATGCTTTTTTTGCTTTTCCAAATATTTGTCTAAATCTTTCTTGTTCTCTGCAAGCTCAGCCAAGACCGAATCATATTCGGCATCTACTCCTTTTTTAGGAACTATGCAACCTTGCTTTTTAGCCTCTTCATGATCAAACGCAGTCTGAAATTGTCATAAATACATTAAATAAAACAGAAATAAGTAATTGGAGGGAAAAAAATTATTGAAAATTAAAGTGCTACCTTAAAGTAATCCAATGTTTCCTGCAAATGAGGGAAATCACCATCCGGCTCGTATCTGGTACAGCGATTTATCAGATTACTTTTAAAATCTGTAAAGAATAATCATTGAATCATCATGTACAAAATTTGCAATGTATAAATATAATAAACGTACCATTAAACAGTTCAACAAATTTCAAAACTTCTTCAAATTTAGCAAGTGTTGTGGTAAATTCTACAATTATTCTTTTCGAATATATTGGGCCTTCAAACATTATGGCTCTGCCATCAGGATGATTTTTCATTCTAGCTGCATTTCCCTGAGCGTGTATTCTATATTAAAGCAGGATATGTATAGTGTCTCGTATAAATTGTTACAGTCGTTTTCTAAACAACTATTAAAGCTAAAATTAAACTTTTAAATCAAAAACTATTGTATTAAGATTTTAACTTTATTTTATCTCTATAATAATTATTATTATTAAAGTATTGTATGGAAATTGTAAAACACTTTATATATATTTAATAATTATTAATATATACATGCATATATATATATATATATATATATATATATTATAAATTGGTATATATAAATATTAATATATAAATTTCTAAAATCTATCATTGCCTACCAGTAAAAGTAAAATTAATTTTCTTGTAACTTACTTGCTTAACAATCTTTCAAGATCTGGCAGAGTTGACAAAATTGAGCGAGCTGATTGTATCACGTCCACTCGATCTACCAATTCCTGCACAGCTTCCTGACGTTCCATTATAATATTTTTGCGACAAGATGGCCTACAGATCCATTCACGTAACAATCTGAAAAGAATATTTCATGTATAAAAGAAAGCGTATAAAAATATACAACATATACAACTTTTTATCTTATTTACCTTTTGCCAAATGCAGTGCAGCAGTGATCCAAAATATTTGAGCGAATTTTCTCCGAAAATTCTTAAATTTTTTATTGTAACAGCATCTATCACCATTGTGTTTGTATAATTGAGACCTGCGCGATTGTTTGCAGCTGAAAAATCCGGCGGAATGTAAGTATTGAAACAACCTTGTGCCAATAGTTGCTGTTCGAGCAGATATCCTTTTATAAATACCACATCCTCCTAGTGCGTGAACTGCTAATTCTTTGTTATCGGCTGGTGTCAAACCCAAGCTATCTCCTGATGCATAATAAAAATAATCGTTTGTTATGCACAAAAAAACATATAAAATATATAAAAATTGAAAAAAAGCCAATTATAATTGTATATACTCATACCTTCATTGAGATATGATTTTAAACCTTCAGGCCATGCAAAGTTGGAATCTTTCTCTTTCTTGAAATAATCGCCTTCATGAAGATTCTTAAAAAAAAAAAAAAAAAATATTACAATAAATACTACTTATATAATATATGATAAATATATAACATATATTTTAATAATATATAATATGTATTGTAAGCATTATTTGTTATCTATACTAACTTTTAATGCAGTTGTAGCAGACCAAAATTGAGCTTCACGCTGTAGTGATTCTTTTAACGCTGCTGGTAGAATATTATTAATAAGCTGCAAAGTCTTTCGCAGTAGATTACCACGTTCGTATATTACCTGAAACCAGAAATCACTAATTCAATAACAATATGAATAATTAACGATAATTTAATAATTATTCGTGATTGTATGTCATACATGAATCGGTGGATAATGAGCCAGCAAAGTCAACAATCTGGAATTGCAATAGTCATCGTCAAATTGACTGAGATTGAATTCGCCTATTGTTGTGTCTATAAAGCATACTCCGAAGGAGCTAGAGTTCGAACCAGGATTGCGTTTCTCTACTAAGGATAACAGATAATTGGAATTAGGTGTAGACGGTTCAACATCTAACGGAGTATACACTCTAGTGCCTCTTGTACTGATTTGACAAATTTCTCGCTTTACAACTTTGTCGAACTTTGTTGGTCTGCTCACTGCAAAAATAGATTCATTATTTTTATACGATATATTTTATAATAATAATATTAATAATAAAATATAATAAATAATATGATAGAGATGTAAGGCTCGGGTACGCTTCTACAAAAGCGCTTCAATCCCTAAGAGGATGAATAAAGAATTGAATTGAATATAATAATAAATATAATAATATAAAATAAATAATATAATATATTAATATAATTGTAAAATATAATATATGAATTTATTTATATATAGTTAGAATAATTAATTATTATATAATTAATATATTATATTGCATACATTAATTATTATATATATTAATATATTAAGCTTGTTATCTGTTCCTGCACTAATGAACTAGTGCATGCTGGTGCAACAAGTTAGAATGAAACAAGTATATTTTGTCTCGTTCTAACTTATTGCACCAGTGTGTACTAGTTCATTAGTGAAAGAACAGAAAACAAGTCTATTAATATATTACATTAATTTACTCACTAATCACACAGCGTTATTTTTTAATAAAAGACAAATCAAAAAGTCCTAAATTTTTTTTCTAAATATTTAACTGAGAAAAAATTATTACTTTTGCTGCAGCGTGCTGCCATCATCTCCGGGTTTTCGGTTTGCTCGACTCGCGCAACTTTGTAGCCTCTTTCTATCAGACTCGACGAATAACGACCGTAACCAATTTCGGGAAATCCAGAGTGCGCAAATTCACCCTTTAATAATAATACATAATGTTACATAAATAATTTTATGAAATGAGTTCTTCTAAAATAACTTTGACATTTCTAAAACTTACTCGCATATATGTGAGACTAAGCTCAGTAACACCTATAACTGCGTCCATATGGTACAACTCATAGAATTTGCCAACTTTGAAGAAAAGTACACTGTTAAAGTGCTCACTTTTCAGTTCCCACCACTGCCTCATTGCCTGAAAAAATTATAAAATTAGATTAATTATTAATTGTCAATGTTGATACATAAAAATAGCTTAACGATAAGATTCTTACAGGAGTTTGATTGTTTAAAAAATCAGTTGGTACATAAAGCGTTCCAGGATCATAATCTGGATGATTTATGGTCTCTTTTGTTTATCCTTTATTTTCTCTGGTTGCAGAAAATCTATTTTCAAGTGAGGCCAAACGTGCGCAGTAGCAAGTCCATTGCTCATAGTTTGACTTTGAACAGACTGTTTTGATTCTTTTTTATCCTAAATTATCAAATGTATCCAATATTAATTACAAGAATCACAAATGTACATTAAAGAATCAGTTTTGCAATTAATTGTATTATTATACTACTTTATTATTTAATTGAACTTAATACTTAATTAAAGTTAAACTTAATTAATTAATTAAAATTAAATTATACTTAACATAATTAATTATATACTTAATATAACAATTAATTACTTACTGGTTTAGATGAATGATTTGCTTTTGCCTTAGATCTAGCCTTGGGTGGCTTTTTCTATTTTTTAAAGAATATAAAAATATTAAATACAATTTTTCTTGTAGTAGTATTTAAAAAACAAAAAAGTATGTATTTAACATTAAAAACGACCAATACTAGGTAATAAATTCTTTATTAAATTAAATTAAACATCTCATTACGTTTCAACCTCAGGTTTAGACCTTTTCAAATGAAAATTCTCTTAAGATGACATTAAAAATAAAGTAGTGAGACACCCTTATAACATATCAAACAATATATAAAAAGAAAACCTTGTGTCTTAAAAGAAGTCTCGTCAGTAACGTAATGAGATATTTAATTTAATTTAACAAAGAATTTATCACCCGGTATTGGTCGTTTTTTAATGTTAAATACATACTTTTTCGTTTTTTACTTTTTACTGGCAAATTAACTATACACATTTAATCAATTAAGACATATATCCAGTAGTGTTTAAAATTGTTGAACTATATTATTGTTACCTCTGGTGTTTCCTCTTCCATTTCTGAAGAGGGTTCACCCTCATCTTCTTCAGAAACTGATTCAGATTCCTTAACATCTATAATAAAAAAGGATTTATATATACATATAATTTTTATTTTTTCTTAATTGAAACTAATTATTCAAGAATAGTATTACTTGTATAATTTACAAACCTGGCTTGTAGTCTTCATCAGAATCATCATCAAAAACAACAATGCGCCTTCTTTTAGTTTTTACAGGCTCATCATTTTCTTCCGTGTCGTCATTATTTTTATGCAATCTTTTTTTATCGTTAGTTTTTTTATTTTCTTTTCCATTACTTCCAATCAGCACTGTATGTTATCATAATATATAATATATATATCATAAGAATCTTAAATTATATACAACATATGCAACTATACAGTTTTGCTTTAATTACATTTTTAATAAAATATAAATATAAATAAAAAATAAATATTTGTAAATTATTTAAGAAGTAATAAACATAAATCTTAATAAATTTTAAGCTCAATAAAAATAATGACTGCAATCATATATAGTGCATTTTATATCTAAATTAGATAAAATTTGATATGCATAAAAATGTTGGAAAATAACAACAACGATTTATTTATTTCTTGACATATCAACGCGTGTCATAATGTATTTTCATCCGAAAAATCTTTTTTGGGAGCAAACCTCTTCTTCTTTGTTCCGTCTTCGACGTCTTCGGCGTCTTCGGCGAATTTTCAACCTCCTCTTTTTCGCCTCCGGCTTCTTGACAGTTTTCGGAGACGTGAAATAATTAAGTATCGTATTTACTTTCGGCATTGTTTCGCTTCATACAAACAATATAAAGATATAAATCTCAAGAGACCATCAGATTTTCATTCATGTAACTGCTAGCCGAGAAACGCGCGTAAAATCCATGAGGTTTGTTCTTTGTTGTAATTGAACTAGTGACACTAAAAAATAAATAGATATATATAGATAGGAAAATTAAATTCTCGATATGTACAAAATCCGATATCCAATGGAAAAGTTTGTTCTATAGTAAAAAAAATGTCCCTAGAAAATACATTTTTCTATTGGCTGTAGAATAATTCAAAATAAACAGGCTAATTATATTAATTTGAATAAGAATAGAAAATAAATAAATAAATTTAAATAAATAAAGTTAATAATAAATAAATAAATAAATTTGATATAAAGAAATAAATTTAATATAATAAATAAATAAATTTAATAATAAATAAATTAATTAATTTAATAATTCAGTAAATTTGTAATCTAAACTAAATTTTTTCATATCAAATTTTTTTTATATTATATATATTTTTTTTATATTATCTAATATTTTATATTACTCAACAAAATACAAAATATTTATAAAAATAAATATTTTGTATTTTAAACAATTATTAAAAAATTAAACATCTTACAAATTTATAGAGATACACATGTTAATAATATCTAGTCACATACTTTTAATTAAATTGAACTCGTTTTATGTGATTTATAGTCTATATAAAATTTATTTTACATAAACTAAAAGAACAATTTTAGACATAAATTTTTAATTTTTTCTTAAATAATTGCATCAATTATAAATTAATATTATAGAATTATATATAATGCATTGATCTTATATTTCTGAGAAATTAATTTTGTAATAATTGTATATTTGTTTAACAAGGAATATTTAATTTTTTCAGATTTTTATTTGCTACATAAAAATTGTTAAATACTTCTTTATATACTTTACGTATTTTTTAATTTTTTATATGCATTTTCTTAAAGGATTTAAATAATGCCAATATTTTACATAGGTATAATTATGCTTATTTTTTTTTAAAGGTAGATTTATTAAATTAAAACGCATGTAAAAAAAAATAAATTATATGCACGTACTAAGTATCATGTGTAAAATAAAAATATTTTAAAAAATGAAAAGTTTTCGACCACTTTTTAATTTCTATTTCTGTCTTTCTCTCTCTCTCTTTCTTTATATAAACATGATAAATATACAATTTTGTATAAATTATATTACACCTGTGTACTATTCTTTCGTGTGCAACAGATTATAATTATTTATTTGTACAAGTTACACTATCAGGGTATGTGTAAATATAAAATCGATTCTTAAAGTACTTCCATATAATCTATATCCGCTCCAATATCAAGAAAATCATCGGCATAATCTTGAACATGTCTCTGTGTCAACGATTGTTCAGAATGATCTGGATCATCCGTTACGGGGCTAGGTGGAGGATTCGATACCGTGCGATCTGAATCTAATGGCACTCTATCCATGCCTTCACCACGTCGTAGTCTTGCTTGTTCTGCAATTTGTCTTGTAGAGAGTTCCGCCCTTGTTAATAAAGTCGGCAAATCTTTTCAGATTTATCTATAATTTCAAAAAAATATATATATAATTTGTGCATTACTTTTACTATTTTCTAACTTAACATTTTATAATAAACTTTAAATAAAACCTCATTCTTAAAATATTTTATAAAATACTTTAATAAAATATATTATTAAATATATTATTAAAATCAAAATAAATATATTATTGAATATAATTTATAAAATTATAAATGAAATATATTATATTTTATAAAAAGTTATTTACTTTCGAAGCTCTTCATCAATTCCTGTGTTTTTTGTCTTGCGTCATTAGCTTTCTTCCTCTGCTCGCTACTCTCTTTTGATCATGGTAAAATATTTCTCTTATTTTTTCTTGAGGAATATGTTTATCATTTTTCACTAACCAAAAATATACTCCACCAGCAGTTCTTCTACGAGATCCATTCATTATTAAGATTCCACCATCCTCTTCGATTTTTTTCGTTTTTGGAAAAACTCAATGGCTTTCTCTTTTCCAATTATATCCACTACTCGTCCTAAAATATATAAATATAAGTACAATTTCTAATATTTACCTATATATAAAAAGTCAAGAAGATATTTCTTACAATTTTTAAAGCTTTGATATATAATAATATATATTATATAATATTAATTGTTTATATCACATTAAAACAAAAACTGATGACAAAAATTTTCTTGAATTGAAAACCAAGAGAGAAAATTTTTCTCAATCATTTATTATTTAAAACAATTGATATTTTGAAAAACAATTTTCTTAAACAAAACTGAAAATTCTAATTTGTTAAATAATTTGTCATTAAAATTGAATACAATAAAAATGCTATAAAGCAAGAAAGAAAAAATAATACAAGTATTAATACAAACTCTTACTTATAAGAAGCTCTTTTCTCTCACTGAGCTTAGTTGTTATATCTGTAGCAACATCAGCATCTGTTGAATCCACAGTTGTAGATAAATCTGCTACTATTCTAACAGAGCCTTTCTGATTGTCAAGATCCATGGAGGAGTTTTTCCTTTTCCCTAGCCTAAGTTTGACATTATGTCTGTCTGAATTTGTTCTCTTATTAGTAAATCTTTGTTCAACATCCTTTTCATCATCGGAACTATTATTATTACAAGGTTCTCCATCGTTATATCGCAAAGTAAAATTATAACTCTCGACACTACGTTCCTGATACAATTTCTTTGTAACACCACACGATATTAAGTCCTCAGTCAACGATTCTTCCTGCATTTGTTTACACCATACTTTATATTTATCATTTTTATTTGGCCAGTTCTTCGATAAACTATGCTTTTTCAATTTAAGCTTAGGTCTTTTGACGTTTAAATGAGTGGAATCCGAATCAGAATCACTTTCAGAATCTGCAGAGTTATCAGATTCATCATTGTATCGCATGTTTGTACACGTTTCTGTGACAGGTGCTACATGAGGTCTTTCCAAAATTTTATACGTTTCAAAGACATCATTTTGCTATAAAAAAAGTAAATAATTATTAAAAAATATTTTTAAACTTTTAAGTAAATTTTCTTACATAATAATTAATTTTTAAAAATTAATAAAATTTTAGATTAAGATATAAGTGGTTAAATATAAATAAGAAAGAATAGTTTGTATCATTATTTTAAATTATGATATATATTTTACACAACACAGAGCAAAACATATATACACATAAAAAAAAATATGAAGGCCTAATAAAAAATATAAAAACAAGAAGCAAATTGCACTAAAAATTTGTTTTCAGCTTTCTTAATATGCTAAAATAAGTCTTTTCTGCATATTTTGCTGTGTTTCAATTATTGACAATTAGGAAAATTATAAATATAGGCAATTATAAATATTTTTGCACATTTTGTTTATTTCTCTATAATGCTATCTAATAAAAATAAAATTTAAATTTAAACTAATAAAAATAAAAAGTAGCAAATACAATGCAATATATAAACCAATTCTATTATAATATATTATGATTTTAATATATTAATTTAACTTTAACATTTAATATGTTTATAAATATATAGAATTTTTTAAATAGAACATTGTACTGTTCTATTTTTTAAAAGTAAACTTAAAACTCTTATACAAGAATTTCAGCATATTCTGTATATATAATTTATATATTTAGTTACATAATTTTATAGATAAAATCCTTAAGGTTCGCCAGTAATAATTAATAAAAATCTTTCCTCAATGGTAAAAGTCGACCAAACTGGCAATCATTTATTGTAGATAATTAGTTAAAATACAACGTTTCAGCTGTCATTGCAGCCCTTTTCAAGTAAATCAAAAGTAAATGCAAATAAATTAATACAGTAAATCAAATTTACTGCATGCCTCCGACAACATTCACCATTGTTGAATGTTGTCGGAGGCATGCAGTAAATTTGATTTACTGTATTAATTTATTTTGCATTTACTTTTGATTTACTTGAAAAGGGCTGCAATGACAGCTGAAACGTTGTATTTTAATTAACTATCTACAATAAATGATTGCCAGTTTGGTCGACTTTTACCATTGAGGAAAGATGTTTACATAATTTTATATTTATTGCATATAGTTATTTCTTAAAGAAAAAATGTTTAAATATAATTGATATTAGTATTTTGTATGACATTCAAGTGAAACATAAAATAAATATTTCTTAAAACTATTTGAAATAGAATTTGAAATTAAGAATATGTATAATTTAAGCAACTTATTCACAAAAATTGTTCCTTTATATAATTTTATTTAATTCAGAGTATTTTATTTAGATATTATATATATTTAAATATTAATTAATACATATTATTTTAATGCGTGGAGGCATACAAATTTATTTTAAAAATATTAAAAAATTATAAAATATGAAATATAAATTAAAATAAGATATTTAAATTATAAAATATTATTTAAAAAATCATAAAATATATAAAATATTGATTATGTGTATATATCTTCACTTTTGTGATTAATCCTGTTGTGGTATCTTGCATTGCAATATATGTATGTATATATATGTATATGCCTAAACTACACGATAAAAATTAAATTATAATAAAAAAATATAAGACGAGGAAATTATATTCTGCGCAATAAGCTTAAATTGATAATTAAGAAAATAAGATTCATTTCGATTGCATAGTGAGCTTACAATTTGAGGTTAGATTTTTATCAAATGAATATTTCTCTCAAGCGACTGACCTCATCATCCACGATTTCACCATCTTCCAAATCCAATGGTTCCGCTTCCATGCTTCTTATTAAAGTTTATTTATTTATCTCTCTTCCTTTTTTGTATAAAGAGAAATAAACGAGACGAAGATGTTTTATCACACACACATACTTTCGATATTGATATTATAAAACTCACTGCTCCTCCTCTTCTTGCGATAACGATAGTATCTTCAATCTGACGTCTCAATGTTTAGCAATTTGCACGGAATTTGTTTCTTCCATTTTTTTTAATTTTCTACGACATGGATATATAAAATTTTCAGCTTCGTGCAAACCTACTTTTCACGAACAGCGTTAAACATACCTAGAGATGCCCTTCATAGACATAAATTACATAGATAAAGCATCCGTTGCGAGAAAATATGAATGGACATGATTGGCTGTCAAATAGCGAATTTTTAAAGTCCCTAAAACTTCCCTACACCGGCCAATTACAGCCATTCCTTCAAAGAATGGAACAAAACTATCAATACTGTAATTAATAAATAATAATAAATAATAATAAAGTAAAAATTTTTTTTAAATAAAAAATCAATAAATAATTATAGATAATATATATTAATAATAATTATTAATATTATTACTATTATTGTTATATTATTTTATTAATATTTATATTATATATTTATTTATTATAAATTTATTATTATAAATAATATTAGTAATAATTAATGTTATTAAAAATATATATTATTATTTACACAATATATATATATATAATATATATATATATGTGACGTACCGAGCCAATGACAGATAACAGCGTCTGCTGCGCTCGCGCTTTTGCGCATGCGCAAAATTACTAGCTGTCAAATAAGAAATCTAAAATTTCCTGCACTGGCCAATCATAGCCATTGCTCCAAAAAATTAAATAAAAAATCTCGATGCGGTAATTAATAAATAAATAATAATTTATGTTATTAATAAAAATATATGTGTTATTATTAATAATTGATAAATAATTAGTTAACCCTCTTACAACGAAATTTCTATAAATGTGACGTAACTGGGCGCGATGACAGGCATCTGCTAGCGCTCTTGTTTCCGCGCATGCGCGAAACTTGTCTCCAATTCGCAAACTACTGCAGCAGCCAGAAGCTATTTTTGAACATATTCGATATATGGGTACAATACAAAGCGAATTAGTGAGCGATTTTTTTTTAATATGCATATATTTTCTAACAAAACGCACGAGTATAATTATTTGTTAAGACTGCATGTGTATCTCTTATCAGGGGGATAAATGCCGATAAAAGGGAATATCCTAGCCTATATACAGAGGCTTCTTAGAATCGTAAGCGTCCACCGATGCTGACACTTGACGAGGAATTGACGTGAAAGAAAGGGAAAAAGATCGACGAAGCAAGAGTATTCGCAACCCGGCGTCGAGAAAGTAAAAAATAAACAAACATGACTGTCATGGATTTTTTCGGTTGCGCCTTTCTGGCCTTCGGTCCACCACTGGCTATGTTTACATTTACCATCGCTGCTGACCCCATCAGGATAATCATACTGATTGCTAGCGCCTTTTCTGGCTTATCTCACTGCTCCTGTCGTCCATACTCTGGTACGCAGTTGTTCCCCTGCAGGAGAACCTTGCATTTGGACTAGTGTTTTCTGTGCTGTTCCAGGAGAGCTTCAGGTGAGTTTTACTCTCTGATTAATTTCATTTGTGTATATCTGAAGGTCATATTTTATACACATCCTTATGTACACAGTAGAATTTATCATTTGTTTATATCTTTCAAGATACCTGCTTTACTGGGTGCTGCGCAAGGCTGAACGAGGCTTGGAGAAGGTCACAACGACACATGTGGCGGATAGCAGACACATATTCGCTTACGTGTGTGGTTTAGGCTTTGGCTTCATGAGCGGTGCCTTTGCTTTGGTCAATGTTCTGGCTGACGCAGTCGGGCCTGGCACCATGGGACTCTGGCAAGGCACGGAATACTTCTTCATTATATCAGCTGCCACCACATTGTGCTTCATTCTGTTACACACATTCTGGGGCGTCATCTTCTTCTCCGCGCTGGACAAAAGAAATTGGGGTCACATTGTCTGGGTAGTTGGAACGCATCTGTTTGTCTCGTGTATGACCTTGTTCAATCGTTACCAGGCATACGCAGCCAGTCTTTTGTCAGCGTACATAGTATTAGCGATGACGACTGCATTAGCGTTCAAAATTGCAGGTGGCTGGATGCAACCTTCGATTTTCTATTTCCGAAGAAATTGAGAGTTTTTATAAAGGTTACTTAATTATGTGATTAGATAAGAATTCCATCTTTGATAGCATTATAAATACATAAAAGAAAACATTATCTCCATTTGTGCTGGTCTTATAAGAAAACAAATTAATCTTTGCTTCATTATATAAGAGTGCATTCAAAAAACAAGCATAAATGGATTTTTTCAAATTAAGCTATGATATAAAATATAGGTATAAAATATTGTAAATATTAAGTGAATGGTAAATATTGCAATGTGGCTAAAGCATATTCTGTTGAATTCTGTAATGAGAGAAGGAGAATATATTTATAATTACATAACATTTTTTAAGAACATTTCAAAATTCGACTGTTTATTTAAAAAGCACCATAATACTGAATATTTTTATTAAGCTATTAGTCAGTTCCTTAATTAAGCAAAACACTGTAGGCAAAAATGGAATAGTATTCTGAAGCATGACATAAAAATATATTTTTTTTCTTGCATTTAATAAGAAAAAAAATTTAAATATATATATATATAAAATTACATGCGTCCATGTGTATACATATATAAATTATTATAAATTATAAACTAAGATGTATATTTGTGCATCAATTTGCATTTAAAAATGAATTCCTTGACTAAATTTAAAAAATTATAAGGTCGAAGGAATATATATTATTCTATGTATATATAAAAAAAACGAAAGAAAGCCACTAATAATTACTCTTAAAATAATTACTGTGACCTATATCTCTTGAGATTTAATTCATTTAATCTTGACTTAATAACACATTTTGTAATATTTTATTCAGTTTATTCACATTACATTTCATATGACAACAAAATAAAAACATTTTTTATACAATATCAGTTATGTATATTATTGTTACCTCTTCTGTAATGCAAGATAATTGCATTACAGAATTTTATATAACAATATGTAACAATTATAATTAAAATCATTACTATGTATTATTGTTTAAAGTTACGGATAAATTTATAACTGGTGCTTATAATCTGTTTAATAAGAATGTGACTGGGCAAAATTCTTTTTAAAAACCATTATATTGAAAACTTTTGAACGAGATAGAAGAGTTCTTCTCTTATGATGTAGCAACAACTAACATCATTGATAATTAATGAAGATGAAACTATATGAAGAAAAGTGTATAATGATTTGAAATAATTAATTTGACAAAATTATTTGATGTAACTATCTTTAAGATTATTACTGTAAAATTGGTGGAAAGCCTCAGATGCCAAAAAATAATTATAATAGCGCTGAGAGATTGAACTTATCAATTGGATTTATTAAAAGCGTTATATTACAGTATTGTTGTATATAATTTCAATATGTAATTTTTTTCATTTTTTATAATAAATAGTTTAAAAAGTTATGGTCTTATATATTAGACAGATGTATAGTAAAAGTGTTTCATAAACTTTATTAAATTTAAAAATTATATTAACTTTAATAGATATTGTAATCTACATTATATTTTATATATAATTTTTTATTATTATTGAAGTAGAGGGCCCTGGAAAAACTAATCTATACTATATATATATATATATAAAATTATTTTCAATTCAAAATAGTATTTTATTATTTTATTTATTAATTTTTTTTTCCTTATTTTATTTATTTCTTTAAATAACATTTCTTATTACATTTTAATATTAAAAATTTTAATATTTACATTTTAAGTATATTTAATTTTGTCACATGAATAATTATGTTTTTGTTTATATGACAGATAATCTCTTCCTAGAAAATATCTGGATAATATTTTGGAATCTAGAAATTCAATAAAAAAATAAAAATAATAATTATTAATAATAAATATAATATTATATATAATATAATATAATATAAGATAATATATTATATAATAATATGTAATATATATATTGTAAGAAATCGAGATTATTAAAAGAAGAATTTAATTACGGATGACCGTTAAAAGTTTCAACTGTTCTTAGAAAGCGCGGAAAGTACGAAGGTTCGAGAAAGGTGTTTGAAAGTCACTCAACAAATATTCACTTGAAGACAAAGACTGTTATTTATTACGAAAGACTCCCGTATACAAAATCAACTATCTTTTTCGGTATACTGCTCGAAGGAGAGTCCCGGGCCTTTCCGCTCGCTAGCTTAATACCCTTTTGACTCTCCCGCGCGCGCCGCTTAGTTTGCGCCCTATACGCTTATCGCCGAGGGCAGCAGTTATCGGGGACAGTTAGTTGTCGTATCGGCGCGTGCGCAATCAGCCGATCGGTGGCGATTGCTTTCAATATATATATATATATATATATATAATATAATAATTATATTAATATATATATATATATATATAAATATCTATTGAAATAAAATATATAATAATATTAATATACAACAAATATAAAAAAATAACAAGTATAATAATTTTCTATAATATACATATTTATATTTTTGACCAATCAACTGTCAATTCTCTTCGCTCCGATTGGTCAAAAGAATTTCCCCCAAAAATCCCTAGAAGAGTACCCAGGGGAAATCTCCCCAAAGGAACGCGCCCAACTCGAAGAAGAGTCCCATCTACCATCATTTCACTTCGCCCATAGCACAGTTTTCGCAACCGAAGCCGTGAGGAGAATCGTAGGAGGAGCTGTTGGAGTCACGTGACCGCGAGGGTAGTGTGCCGAAGACATGGCGGACAAGGAAGAGACCGAGAAGACCATCGCCGAGGACTTGGTTGTCACCAAGTATAAAATGGCCGGCGAGATCGTAAACCGTAAGAAAACTCTTCCTCGTGGTCGCGCGAGCCCCCCGTAATCGGGGACCTGGCTCGCGCGCGCATTTTTTTCTCACTATCCGCCATATGGAATTTCGGCGCGCAATACCGGGCTATTTCGCAGCCATGTGCTAGGCTTTAATTAAAAGTCCCCCTGGCGCCTCCGCGACACAAGTTCCGAGAGCGTTTTTTTCCTCGATGAGAAGAAAAAAATTATTTTTCAAGAAATGCACAAATATTCCGTCCCTTTGCTTATCCGTGCAATTTCAGCTGCACGGTATCTCTGCACATGTCTGCATACTCCTTTTTTTCATTATCTCGCACCAAGTAGATGAATATAATGTGTTATGTATGTATAAATATAATGTAACGTGTGAATTATGGATTATTTGCATTTAATTATCTTGTGCTAATTGATCTATGTACAAATATACTTATTTTCTTGGCTTGCGAGCTTGTACCATTTTTTCAAGATAATAACGTATGGTATGTTTTTATTAATTTAGGAGTTTGTATATAATTATGACATTTATGTGTATTTTATTTAAATTATATTTAATTATATATTCATTTTTATATATTAATATATATATTATATTTTATATATTATTTATATATTAATTATTTAATTATATACATAATTAAAGTTATATTATATTTTGGAGCACAGTGGTAGAATAGGAAAATTAGTATTATAATTTCAATTATATTAATTTTTCTATTCTATTGTACTTTAAAATTTACTGTGTCGCTACTAGAAATCTATAATTTGCATATATTATAATGAATTTTAGAACACAGCCTATATATCAACTTTGTAATATATTAAATATTATTCGGGTTAGCATATATATCATATGCAAATTTAATATTTGTGAAAAATGTAGCTTCTATAAAGAACTTTTTTTTGTTGATATCAGCTTAAATATTTTACATGTAACATTTTTTTTATAATTACATTTATATATTGTATATATATATTTTGCAGGAATATTGAAGCAAGTTGTAGACCAATGTGTCACTGGAGCATCTGTGAGAGAAATATGTGAGTTTGGTGACAAACTACTTATAGAAGAAACTAGCAAAGTTTTCAAAAAGGAGAAAGAACTTAAAAAGGGATTGCTTTTCCAACATGCATATCAGTCAATAATTGCATTTGTCACTTCTCGCCCATTGCTAGTGAACCCGATCTTTTTCTCAAGGATGAAGATATGGTTAAAGTGTAAGTTTATTTTCTAAAAAAATATACATTTTTAAAATTTAATAAAGTACAAACTATATTACTAAGATCTAACATGTCAAATATATTTAAATAATTTTGACAATTTTCTTAACAAGCACGATTGATTAAATTATATGATTGTAGTGATCTAGGAGCACACGTTGATGGTTTTATAGCTGTAGTGGCACACACTATTGTTATAAGTTCTTCACCAGAGAGGAAAGTGACTGGCAGAAAAGCGGATGTAGCTTTAGCTGCACATTTTGCTTCTCAAGCTGCATTAAGACTGTTGAAGCCAGGTACAGAGGTAAGATTCCATTCATTTATTTTAAAACTAAAAAAATCTGTAAAAACTAAATTATAAACAAATTTTTTATTCGTTATTATTTCAGACGTACACAATAACAGGCACAGTGGAAAAAATATGTGACGCTTATAAATGTAAGCCGATTGAGGGCATGTTAAGTCATCAGTTAAAGCAATTTAAGATTGATGGGGAAAAAACGATAATTCAGAATCCGAATGATGCACAAAAGAAAGAACACGAAAAGTACACGCTTGAAACTCATGAGGTGAAAATATGCACTTGAAATATAGTTCAAAGTGATAAATAAGTAAACTAAAAATTATTTGTAAAATAAAATATATGTATAATAAGGTCAATAGAAGCTCGATGTATTGGTGTACATACTAAAAAATATAGTATACTTTTTGTAATATTTGTCTTCTCTCGGGACTGCAAAAGATTCAAGTATTATAAAAAAAATAGAAATATCTTGTTCTATGTGCACCAGTGTTCAATAATTCACACATTGGCTTTATTATCATTATTTATATTTATTTTCGGAAAATAAGCTAAAAATTATATATATTATATATTAATATTTATATATTTAATTTCAGGTATATGCAATGGACGTACTGGTTAGCACAGGTGAAGGGATAGGAAGGGAACAGGATACTCGAGTCACAATATATAAAAAGACAGAGGAGACATATCAACTTAAATTGAGGCGTCTCGTATGTTCTATTCGGAAGTCTCCCACAAACACGGACTCATGCCATTCAACTTACGCACCTTCGAAGACGAGAAGAAAGCGAAAATGGCCGTTGTAGAATGTGTAAATCATAGGTTGATTGAGCCATTCCAAGTAAGAACATTTATATACACTAATATATTAATCTCCCTATCGAGAATCTATATGATAAAATAGAAACAAATATATTTTGTATATTTTTTTTATAGATCACAATTTTTTTATTTTTTTTAACATTTTTTCTTTTAACTATCATATAAAAAGTACTTTTAAAGAGAGAAAAAATATATTTAAGAATATAATATTAAATTTTATAAACTATAAT